AAACCTCAAGGGGCAAATTGTTATGAAAATACAAACCTCAGGGGGCGGGATGTAATTTCTGAAATCTCAGGGAGTATCTGTAATTTAGCCAAACCTCGAGGGGGTATATGTAATTTGCCCTAAGTTAAAATACAACATCTAAATCATAATTATTTCATTTTTTCTCTTACAAAAGTTAAAAAAATCAAAAAGTCAATCTAAACGGTCTTTTTAATTGAAGTTAAAATAATCAAAAAGTTAATAAGTCAACCCAATCTCCCAAACGAACCAATCTTCCTTTTTGTTTTTTTTTTAATATTTCAATACAAATTTGTATATCTTATCATTTCATCGATCACAATATTCTTAAGACATGATTTAATTATGTGCCAATTAGGGTTGTATAAAATATCGTTAAAATCGCTAAAATTATATCGATTTGTATCAATTTACACCGCTCTATCTATTAATCGTAATTTAAATTTTAAAATTTATAATCTGTCTTTGAATTTTAAATTTTATAATTCGTTTTATAAACTGTTTCGTTATACTTAATACATATATATATTTTTTAATCTCTAATGAAATATCAAAGTAAAAATTAATATGAAAGAGATTTAAAATGTGAAATTTATTATAAATTAATAGTTATATATGTTAAAAATATTAAGTAAATTAATATTATATATTATGTAAAAACTTGATAATTGATTAAAATATTTTTCAATTCGTCAATTCATCCAAAATAGTTGAAATCATAATTTATTAATTTATCAACATACTAGTTTGTTATTCAATTTATAATTTTATTCTCAAATTATTCAAAACGCACCACGTACACCCGACAACTAGTGAATAACTTCTTATAGAAACGATAGCTTTGATATCACACTCGCCAGCCCAGCTGGCGTTATCGTCCTTTAACAATTGAATATAATTGGTGGGTACTGTCTCCCGTGCTTATCCCATTTTACATGTCTTCTTTCTAATGAAGGTGGTGGCTTCTCACTTGCGATATGATAGCTTGTTGGTCTTATTACGTTCACTTTAGGCTCCGTTTGGGACGATGAATTTGGGATTTTTTTTGGATTATTTTAGCTACAAAAAATAAAATATGTTATTTTAATCACAAAAAATAAAACATCACATTCAACTCATAATTATTACACTTTTTCTCACAAAAAAAGTCAAAAAAGTCAAAAAGCTAAAAAATCTTTTCCAAACCAAGTTTTTTAACCCAAACTAAAATAGTCAAAAAAAGTTAAAAAACCAAAAAGTCAACCCAGTTTCCAAACGAAGCTTTAGACTATTATGGTTCATTTGAGATGTATAACTTTTTAGTTTATATATATATATTTTTTTGAGATTAAAAAGTTTTATTTAGGATAAATTTTTTGATTTTTTAAATTTTTATAAAAGAAAAAATAAAATAATTATACATTAGATGTGATATTTCGTCATATTTAACTAAAATAACTTATTTTGTCATATATAATTATTTTAACGCCAACCTTTATTCTAAACAGGCCCACATATCTAGATTTTTCCCATCTTTAAATTAAAAAAAGGATAAATTACATTTTGTCTTGGTTTGGCATGTCTTGAAAAAGATAAAAAGTCGAAAAGTTACTTAGAGAGCTAAAAAGTTATCACTATTAAAAAAAATAAAAAAAAAATAAATTTACACATAAAAAAATACAACTCAACTTTTTGATGAAGTGATGGGCTGGCCACGTAATCGATCTGCTGTACTAGTCTAAAAATAATTGTCTCTTTCGTGGGCAACCATTTAGACTGTGTTGTTCGGCCGGTGAGGGCCACAACGGGTCACATTTTGATAATCTGAACCGTTCAACATGTAGAACTCGTTGAGTACTATATGCTTGTAAAAAATCATGTTGATCGGATATTGCAAACTTATATAATCAAATCAGTTTGTATAAAAAACAGATGGTTTATAGTTAACTGGTGAACAAAAACTAATTCGATCAATGTGATTTCGATATTCGATCAATGTGATTTTTTAAGGCATATAGTACTCGACGAGTTCTACATATTGCACGGTTCAAATTATCAAAATAGGACTCGTGGTGGGCCCCACAGGCCGAATAGTACAGTCCAAATGATTGCCTTGCGAAGGAGGCATTCATGTCCTTATCTCTTACACTCTACCCAGAAAAAGTGCCGTATAACCTATTACACTTACTTCTCCTATACATTTATTTATACATTTTTTTATTACACATTTTTTCGTAAAAAAATAAAAAATTAACCCAAACATCCATCATTTTGTCCTTAACTTTTTAGTCAAAAAAGACAAAAAATACACTTATTTAGCATATCCCAAACAACCCATTTTTCTCCCTAAAATTTCATCCATTTTTCACTTTGGTCCTTTAAGTTTGATTTTTCTCGCTCTGACTCTTCATGTTTGCAATCTTTCTCACTTTGGTCCTTCATGTTTGTAATCATTCCCACTTTAACCTTTTAAATTTGATTTTTTCCACTTTGGCCCTTTCACATTCAATCCTTCTCACTTTGATCATTTATATTTGCAATCTTTCCTACTTTACTCCTAGACTAATTTCTATCCAAAAAATTAATAAAATCTGTCACATCATCAACATATCAGTTCTATGTGATAATACTTAAAATAAATTAAAAAATTTTTTCTTACTAAAAACTAAAAAAAATTTCAATTTTTTGTTTTCTATTTTTTATTTTTTGAATTTTTAGTGAATTTTTTGCATCACACGTGGAGCTGATGTGTTGATAATGCAGAAAATTCTGTTAGTTGGATGGAAGTTAATCTATGAGTAAAGTGGAAAGGATTACAAACATAAAAGGTTAGAGTGGAAACGGTTGCAAATATGAAAGGTTAAAGTGAAAAAAAATCAAACTTAAAAGGTCAAAGTGGGAAGTATTATAAATATGATGGGTCAAAGTAAAAAAAATCAAACTTGAATGACTAAAATAAGAAATGGGTGAAACTTTAAGGAGGCAAAGTATAATATCCCCATTAAAAAAATCTATCCATAATTTGAACGTAATAAAGTTTTTTGAGAACGTAATTAATATAAAATTTCGTATTGGTTAGATATTAATATACGCACCAGATCAATTTCTGATTTTTTTGATAAATAAATCCGAATTTAAATATTTTTATTATTTGTCTAAAAGATTATCTATAGGTTCAAAACTTATTTATACCCAAAAAAAAAATTAAACATTGGACCTAATAATGGCAGCGTTTAGAAAGTGATTACTTTTTTTTTTTAATTATTTAATTATTTTAATAGACTATTTTAATCTTTATATTTGGAAAGATAAGTTAAATTTTTTATTTAATTGTTATATTAAAAAATATGTTTAAAATGATATAAGAAGGAAAAGAATAAAATTGTCCCTAAATAATTAAATGATTGGTGTGATTTTTAAAAAATTTTACAGTCAAAATGATCTTTTTCACATGCCTGACAATAGGGGTGTTTGAGGTTCAGATTTGGACGGTTTGCGGATCGGTTTAGACTTGCCCGCATCTATGCGGTTTGGGGAAAAGACAACCCGCAACCACCCACAGTGCAATTTGCGGTTTGTGCAGATAGGATTTGCAGATGTGCAGGCGGTTTGCAGTTTGAACTTTTTTCTTCAAAAAATTATTTTTGAGCCATATTTTTTCCCCTATTTTGTAAATATTTATTTTGGGTCATTTTCTCCCCATTTTCTAAAATGCTCTAACGTTAATAATTAATGAATTAAAACTTATAAAATTAAAAACACAATAAAATCAATTCGTAATACAAACAAATCATTCAAAATCTTAAATCAAATCATAAATTAACACAAACACATATTTTAAAATCCTAAACTAGAACTTTATATTCATTAAGAAATTTAAAATTCAAAATCACACTTCATCCAGGACAAGTTCAGTTATGTAACAATAATAATATAATCAATATTTATTCAGTTTCAGTTGATATAATATTATTAGCAAATGTAATGCTAGAGTAAGTTCAAAAAATAAAGGGTATTTTGTTTTGGGCAAAAATATCTAGATGGGATATAAGAATGAAATTAACGATTAAGATAAGATGATAATAATAATAATAATAATAATAATAATAATAATAATAATAATTGAGGACGGGTTCTTGCGAGTGCGGGTTAAACCCGCAACCCACAAACATGTCATATTTTAAACCGTATCCGCCCACATTATATTTGTGAAATCGCCCATTTATATACGGATTGAGCAAATTAGGCAATTTTTACAGATCAGATAAACCGTTGGCCACCCCTACCTACCGTCCTGTGGCTGGGTATAGGTTTTGCTTCTATATATGTTTTTGACTTTTTATTTATTTATTTTATTTGAGGCTATTTTAGCCTCTAAATTAAATCCACTTGCTAATAGACTTTTCACCAATTAATTTTATTAATAATGACAAATTTATAAAGTAGAAGTAAAGTAATTTGAGTAAAATTATTATTATTATTATTTTATGAAAGTCCAATTATTTTATATGCGTGATCGATATTATTTTTATGTTGTTAGTTTTATAATTGATTATATATTTGCAAACTTAGGCCAAGTTTGGCATGTGGCAAAAAAGTAAAAAAGTTAAAAAGTTATCACAATTCATTAAAAGTCAAAAATTACGGCTGCATAATTCTCAATCTTAATTTTCCCCTACACACTAATTTATACAATTTTTTAATATATATTTTTCATAAAAAATCAAAAAGTTAACCCAAACAACCATATTTTTTTCCTCAACTTTTTAGTCCAAAAAGTCAAAAAGTACACTTATTTAAAACATCCCAAACAACCCCTTATATATCAATAATCATATGATAAAATTATTATATATCTGCAAACTAATGTATCAATAATCATATGATAAAATTATATTTATTTTATAATATTAAATAATAAATATAAATTTAAAATCGAATTATATGGAGTATTTTTTACATGAATATATTTTTGAACCACCCTTTATAAAAACCAACAGCGGAGATGATTCCACCATGTGGAGAGTCAATCCTTTCTAAGACGAGCAGTGGACTTGGGCGTAATCCAAACGATACTTCATTCACTCACTCCCGTTACTGCTCAAGTCTATTCAAAACTCCTCCCAACACCCCCAATTTCATATATATATATATATATATATATTCCTTGTAGCTGAAACTGTCCGCCACAGTTGAGAATTTGAAGAACGGCCATGTCTCTCCCCCTCTCCAGCTTCGAAGCCAGGTCTCTCTCTCTCTCTCTCGTTTGTTGTTTTTACGGTCTTTTCTTCTATAATTTGCCTAATCTTTTGTGGACTGAGCAGTCTTGTTTCATTACATTGGTTTGTGGAAGCTGTGTGGTGGCAGATTTTGAGTACTTTTGTCAATATAACCTCTGAGACGATTATGTAATATTATTTAATGATCGGGAAATTGTTTGATTCGTTGACAAATTTCTTTGATCGGTAGATAGATGATCATATGATTGACTGGCGGAGGGAGACTGACTAACTAATGGCTAATGTGAAGAAATAATAATTTGATTATCAATCAATCTATCAATATTCTTATAAATTTTGTTCCTTGATTTGTTCCTTTGGTCTTCTTTCGTTTCTCTTATTTTTCGTGTGTCTGTCTTGTTATTCGACTCCTCTGTACTATCACAACTCGTGAAATTTTGTAATGGATTTATTAGGGCTAAATAAAGTACCTTGTCATAAACAAACAATCCTCATTTGATTGAAATCGAATGAATTAGGTGCGATTTGGCAATTGTTTATTTAGGTGCCGTTTGGTAACACTTACGTTTTCAGTTTTCTGTTTATATTTACAAAAGTTTAAAAAACTCAAATAAAAACTTGTTTGGACAGTAATGTCAGAAAAAAAATAATTACGAAAAGTAAAAAATATTATAAATATTAATAATTATAATTATAGTTTTTTTATTAATTTATAATTAATTTTAAGTACCTCACTATTGTGTAATTGTCCTTTGTTAATTTTATTTTATTTTTGTTAAGGAGAGAGTTTTGTATCTTTTGTTCTTTTTTTTGAAAAAAATATTATATTACCCCTACTCTATTATTGTAGCAGAAAAACAACCTGTCTGCGTCATTTACTTTGGCTTTTTAAAGCCAAAAACATAGTTTATTCCTCCTTTGGAGACTAGAGTTTTTAGTTTAAAAAAAAAAAAAATCAAAAAAATCACTATAAATTATCACATCATTCTTTTTAATTTTTTTTTTACATATTTTTGTAAAAAGTTCAAACATAAACTAAAATACCTAAAATGGTTCCTGGGCCAATGTCCTGAAATCCATGAGCCATGGTCCAAGCCAATCCTTCTGTGATTTTGTAGCCTTGAATTTTTAATTTCTTAAATCCCAAGTCCGTCATAAAAGCGGAGGCTTCTAGTATGTTAGTGCCAGCTGTAGAATATGGAAATGTTGTTGTTGATAGATAGCAGTGGAGAACTCAATTTCCCATGCTTGTCATGATTTACAAAAGGTAGAACAAAAGTGAGCATGTTAGTATATATTATAAGAGAGCCCTCTGCATACTTAGCCAAACTGTCAGCAACATCATTTTTATATAAACCTCTGCCTCTTTGATCAAAAAAAAAAAGAAAAAGAAAAAAGGATGGCTATAAAGGTTACTTTACTGGAGAAGAAGTCTAATTAGATTTTAACAACTATTTGAATATATATATATATATTAAATAAAGAAACAATAAAAAAAGAAACAAACAGGGTAGGTACAGAAAATGAACAATTAGATGAAGAAAAGAAATAATTATATGGGGAAGAGGGGAAAAAGAAAAAGAAAAAAGAGGTTTAAGAATGAAGTGCTAGTCAAAATGGTTGGCAAGGAGATACCCATCAGCAGAACAGAACTTTATGGAGAGGCTCAACACAGTAAATTTGGTGCTTTTATGCCTTGATGCACTCATGTACGACCCATCCAACATGGGTTTTGTACACGGATACAATGAGAAAGTCTCTTAAATGTTTATATGGAAATGAGTTGAAATATAGGATATTTTAGTAGTAGTTCAATTAATTTTTTGAAAAAAGGATAGGAATTGTTAGAGATTAGCCATTTTGAAGAAAAATAATGAGAATGAATGAAATAAATTTGGATTCAAAATCCATTTAAAAATACACGTCCTTGTATGGCCCAACACAATATTCATTGGCAAGTCTGCCAGTAAGTTAGCATCTTGGTAGTTGCACCATTCATGAAGATCTTACTAGTTTAACAAGATGACACCAAGTATAAGAGACAAGCTGTGTGCAAAGTTCCTAATTGATTTAGCAAATATAGTATTATACGATTAAATTCTTATGTGTTTATTGCGCTCTGTTATCAGAATCTTACGATTCGCAATTCGATTTGCGATTCGATTCACGATTTGGTTTGTAATTTTTGCAAAATCGATACAAACCTATGAGGGAATCTATTTTGGAAGTGTATCGTACGATTCACAATCGATTCACGATTCGATTCACTTTTGCGATTCATGTAATTCTTGAAACTATTGTGTTTGACATATTTTCAACTCTTTCTTTCTCTATCTTTTTATTGAAAGTGACATAACACAATCTCTAACAGCATTTAGTACCAAAATAATCAATATATATACATGATTTATTATTATTTTAGTGATTATGGAGTTTTTAATAGAATCCAATCAGATTGAGTCAGACCCAATATGTTTTTAAGCTTTCTTCTCATTTTTTTTTCTATTAAAAAATCATAATATATCTTCTAAAGATATTCAAGATTAAAGTAACTTACACCGTAAATTATCTATTGCTATTTTATTAAATTAAATATAGTTAAATATTACATGGGTGAGGTCACTTGTACATTTTAAAATGTTTTAGAAAAAAGATCATAAATAATGATTTCTTATTATTTGGTTATTGTTACTTGAAAAAGTATGTGTGCTTATTGTCCAAATATCAATATCGTTGTCAAATTATTGTTACTTTGAAAATTGAGAATTTGTCTTTATTTATTGTCTTTATTAAGAATGGTTGATAAGAAATATCTAAAAAAGGGAAAATGTAAGATGGTGATCTTACATAGTAATCTTTATTAACTTCTTATCTATTAAACCATATAATCATCATTCAAAACAACATTTTCATTGACTTAAGTCTAAATATTTCGTATTCCTAAGATATATTTAACATCTAAGTGTGTAAATATATTTTTTAAAGTAATTTAATAGAAGTGACCGAATCTTTACGATTGATGATTCACGACTCGGTGCGAAGCCATTTCGATTCACGATTCAATTTCTATTTGACAACTATGCTTTTCAGCCTATAAGACTTGATATGCTTTTGGAACAAGGGAAACAAAAACATAGAAAAGAAAAGATGACAGCCCTTCAAAATTGAAGGGAAGCTCTTTTTTCCATTTGAAGGATCATACTTGATCAGGTTTGGATGCATGAAGCTTTTCGCCTTCTTTCAGAGAGAAGATGAAGTGATGAAAACCCCTTGAAAAGTAATGAAGCAATTTTGTGTATTTTCCTTTCCTTGGGATCTGTTGCTTGAATGTTTTTCTGCTATTTTGCTCGAGCCACATCCTTTGTTAATCATAAATGCATTTTATTCTTGTGGCACCTTTAATTCGAGTTGAGTTACTTGTCACTGGTGTGCAAATAAGTGGACCTTATTAAATAATTTTTTATTAATTTTCTTGCTAATCATTGCTACCTCTGTCATTTCTCATATGTGGACCAGTTTCTAACCATTGATTCTTATGAACTGCATTATATATATAACTAAAATGAAGGAAAATAATTGTCAAGAGTGGATAGCTTCAATGTTTTTATTATTTTAATGCTTTCTCTGTTTTCTATACACTAATGAACCTAGATTGATATTGCAATTTGTATTCCTTTTGATGCTTTCTTAATGCACATTTCTCATTGATTTGGGTGCTAGGTATCTTGATTCTTGCAAGAGACAAGAGGTGCTCCCGAATTCAACAGTTTTAACATGGTTTTACGAGGTCATCCTTTATTGTCTTTTTACTAAATTAAGCTATGCTGGAGGATGAAAAGATTTATGATATCAATAGTTACTTATGCTTTGGATTTTTGTTATAGTTTTTTTTTCCCTTCACAATGCGTAGGGGGTATGGATAACTATTCTTTTAGTCTTGAAGTACTGAATTGGTAGGATGTCACGCTTTCTGTTCTTTCGACAATGAAATATGAGTCTTCTCTTACTATACCCATGCAAATGAACCCCATCTGTTTGTTATACTGTTATGACATTAATTTTTTTCCATCTGGTTACAGAACTTCAGTTTTTTACTTCTTTATAGCTTGCACCATTTTTCTGTTGAGCGTGATGAAGTTTATTGCATTGACTAACATTTTTCCTTATCACTCAGGCAAAGACTCAGAAATCCATTTACCAGAAGTGTAATATGGTCATTATATTGGATGACCTAAAGGATGCCGATTTCTCTCCACTTATCGATGTTTTCCTGGCAATTGACTCTTCTGAAATTGATGCAGTTGACATAATTCAGGAATCACACTGTGCCATAAACAAAGATCATGTTATGTCTTTGTTGCGTACGATCAATTCAAAGCTCCGAATCGTTGATCTCAAGGATATGTCACTTGTGGACGACTTCTTCTGTTCTGTGTCAGTGCTTTCCTGAACATTAATACTTTCAAATGATCTAGAGTTCCTGTGCATTAATCATGAATATAGTTTAAATTTTGCTAATCTTCCAGTTTACCCTTTGTTGCTCTCTATGTGAAAATTTTAAAAATGAGGCAAAGAGAGTTTTCAGACATTCAGCACAATTTTTTTGTAACACTCAAATCGAGCAGTAGGAATAGAAAATATTTGTCTGGGCTAATAACAAGAGTTAAATTGATGGTTTCTACTAATCTAAGGTTATTGATTTTAACTCCTTGATCAATTTGGGATTTCTCCAGGGATCCTTCCCAGGGTGGTTTGTCTTGCCAAGTTTTGAACCTGAGGTCTTCTGAGATCCGAGAGCTCTACATAGTGGGAATGTTCAAGCAACTACACACCCTTAATCTGGACTTTTGTACTTCTCTTACAAGTATGCAGAAGGATTGTTTCGCTTGCTTGCCGAATCTGAAGCGTCTTTCCATGTGTGAAACAAGAGTTGCTGATCTGTGGACAACTAGTGCTGCCTTGTCAAAAATTCCTTCATTGGTGGAACTCCGGTTTCAAAATTGTTTGTGTTGCAAAGGGACTGGTCCTTGCCCTGTGTCATCCAGTGCAAAAACAGATCTTGATTGTGACAGAACTGAGTCAGGTATTTGAAGAAAAAATTGTACATTTAAGGCATGAACAGGAACTTGTAATCTATTTGTTATTTGTTTATGGTTCGTGAGACTCAAAGCATGACTGAAGATTCATTGGATCATTGTGTGGTTGAATTTTCAGGTCATCTTCAAACACCAGGTTTAGTGGAGCAATCATCCGATTCCCTTGCTGTCTGGAATGGGAAGTCTAATTTGCCGATTGAGGTTAAAACATAGTTTCTCTAGTGAAGTTGTCGATTTTACTATTTCAACAAGAAACTATCTCTTGCTAATGGATTTTCAAATCTTTTTAGCAGGTTGCTTTTAGCAAATTGCGTACTCAAGACGGAGATGAATCTCCTACTAGTGCACTTAACTACAACTTCGAGTTAGAGGATGCCTCTACCACATTCAAGAATTATGTTTCACATCATCCTTCGCCTATCTGCTTTGAGAAATATTATAGGGAGTACATGATTGTCTCATTGCCTCGCTTGGCCGTTTTAGATAATCTGCCAATCAGAAAGTTGGAAAGGGAAATGGCCAAGATTATCTTTTCGGAATATTATGAGTTCTTACCATATAGACGACAGCACAAAGAGAGTGTTGTCAGCGTTTTACATATGCGTGAAACTGGAGTGAGTAGAATTCACCACCAAAACTCATCCCGGCCAAGGCAGCCGCTGTCTTATAGAAAAAGCCAACATTTCTACTCTAGGTCTCTTTGTGCTGCCAAACTTGGGTCTTCTGCATGGCCGCTCTTACATCCAGTGTCTAACATTTGCCACATTATCAAAGAAGAAGTTAAGAGCCTTCGGCCAAGGCAGTTTGAGTATCATCCATCAAACTCTAGTCTTATGGTTTTCGGAACTCTAGATGGGGAAATAGTCGTTCTCAACCATGAGAATGGGCATATTGTTGGTTATCTCCCATCCCTTGGACCTATGAATAGTGTTCTGGGCCTCTGTTGGCTTAAGAAGTATCCATCCAAGGTATGCATGAAGTTAACTTTAGTAAATTATATGATGGAGAATTCAGTTTGCTTTCCAATAACTATCTTTAGATGCATATTTCTAACTTTTTTTTGTATTATATCAGAATCTTGCTTTCCACTTTGTTTTGGGAAGTGACTATTTTAGTTGGCTTTTTTATTTTTTATGAAAAGACGCACAGAAAAATAGAGAGAATAGTTGACTTGTAGGTAGTGCCTTTTTGGCATTTTTAGATTGTTTCCAATTTTTTTTGGGGAAATAATTGCACAGTAGGTGCAGCAAAAAGAAATTACAAAAACATGAAAAAGTATATTATTTCAGTTATTAAAATGTATAAACTTTTTCATATTTTTGTAAAATTTTTTTACTGCACCCACTGTGCAGTTAGTTTCCCAATTTTTTTTAAGGGTATTTATGTTGTCTAGAAGCACAATATATATACATATATATATTTAAAGCCAAATGTTATGATGCAAAATGCACTTGAAATGCTTTCCATTTCCTGTAGGATACATGCCTTAGATTTAAGAATCAAAACCCAATCTGGTTCACCATGTTTGCCATCTTTTATCAAATTTTGTTAATCAAATTACAGCAATAATTCTTTATATGCATCAGGTGTGTTCGAGGCAAAGTCCCTCTCTCTCTCTCTCTCTCTGTGAAAAAATACTGTTGAATATAAAAAGAAGAGCAACGCAACCAGAAAACTCTGGTCTGTGGAGATAGGCTTATGAACAAATGTGTTAGAATTTCCCATCTTTACCTTCACCTACTCCACTACACACTCCACTTCACCTACCTCCACTTCACCACACACTCCACTTCACCTAACCCACTATCACCTCCACTACACCTACTCCACTACACACTCCACTTCACCTACCTCCACTTCACCACACAACACTCCACTTCACCTAACCCACTATCACCTCCACTACACCTACTACCACATTTTCTTCTATATATAGATTGTATAGGAATTGTAATTCATCAATCTTGTAATCAATATAAATCAATCAATAATACATACAATTTATTCTCTCTGTATTTCTCTCTCTATCAATTTATCTTACAAAATGCTTCAGAGGAGCATTTTGATGCAATTATCCTTGAACAACACTCTCCATTCTCTTAAAATCATTGAACTTCATTATTTGAATATTCAGTATCCACTAGTTCTGAACAAGAGCACTTCAATTTTTACTATTACAGCATTCAAAGTGACCTTTATCAGATGGAAATTGCTAATAATTGTTTTTTTTTTTTTTGAATTGGATAATCAGTTCCTTACTGGTTCAGATAATGGTTCCTTGAGATTATTTGACGTTAACCATATGCTGCCGAATATTGCGGATGGCTATGCTTCTCCCAGTAATGTTACTTTTGGTAACTTTGAGCAGCTGACATCTGTTCATGTCAATTCAACGAATGAACAGTTTCTTACTAGTGGTTACTCGAAACATGTTGCGCTGTATGACATTGACAGTGGAAAGTGTTTACAGTTATTCAAAGATATACATCGAGGACCCATTAATGTTGCTAAATTTGCTCACCACTCTCCTTCCATATTTGTTACTTCATCCTTTGACCATGATGTCAAGATGTGGGACCTTCGGCAGCAACCTCTACAACCTTGCTATACAGTTTCAAGCTCAAGAGGAAATGTAATGGTTTGCTTCTCACCTGATGACCACCATCTGCTTGTGTCAGCTGTGGATAATGAGGTATTGCTCTTGAAATAAGATTTGCACTATAGTTTTCTAGTGTAGAATAACCATAAATGGTGTTCTTTGATGGTACAAGATTGGGACTAACAGCTGTTAAGGTACCAGGTTAAACAGCTTATGGCGGTAGATGGGAGACTTCACACAAAATTTGATCTGCCTTCAACAGGAAGTGCCCACAATTATACTCGGTCATATTACATGAATGGAAGGGACTATATCATCAGTGGGAGTTGTGATGAACCTGTTGTTCGAGTTTGCTGTGCTCAAACTGGAAGGCGACTTAGGGATGTTTATTTGGAGGTACATTTCTCACATAAACATAACCATGTCTGCGCTCTTCACTACTTGTTAATAACTGCCATTTTGAAGATGTCAAGTGCATTTTGTTCATTGCAGGGTAGGGGCTCGGGAAACTCAATGTTTGTGCAATCCTTAAGGGGTGATCCTTTTAGAGTAAGTTATCTCTGCTTCAAATTTAATGTGTTATCATAATAGCATTATAGTTCTTTTGAACTTGGAAGTTCTGCAAAAGTTGTTCAACCCCTGTTGTTTGAAGAGTTATCATCCCTCTATAAACATCATGAATATTTCTAGGAGTAAAATATTCATATTCTTTCCTTGTTGAGATAAGAATCTGAGCATATATATTTCTGCTCTTTTTGTTTGTTTGGGAATCTAAAACCAGGATTTTCAAATGGCTATCTTAGCAACCTTTACGCATCCCAGCTCAAAGTCGGATATCATCAAGGTAACTTTTATGCATTCTTGTCCTTTGTGTTATCTTTGGAAGCTCTCCTTTAGAACAATTAATATCAATAGGTCTCTACACAGGTCAATTTGCTTGCATCCAGCCATGACACAAAAGAATATTCATGTGATCGTCATTTTAGCCCTTCGTCTGGTTTGGGAGGTTGACGGATATCTCTTTTCTGTTAATTAATGTAAATATGTGTATGAATGTATGTATACATCTCCAAATCTATGTAAATGTTGAGAAGTGTACATTTGTTGTATTAAATTAGTATATATAATTTGTATTCTTTTTGGTGGCTATATAGTTGTGTCCTATACTGGTTTTATCTCAAGACTTCTCCAAAAATGGTGCAAATTAGGGGTGAAGACTCGATCTATGGATATTGGTATAGCCATGCTGCTTGAATGACTGTTGTGTGAATAGGGATGGTTTAGGTAGTGACAGAATTTGACTTTCAACTTGAGCCCTTACCAATGGAGAGGCTTTTACTTCCTAGAGGTTTTATCATTCATATATCATATTGAAAAGTTGATTACTTTTGCCTAATTGCTTGGAAAGTGACTGTTTTCGTGTGTCCAGCATCTCAATGTGGGTTTAATCTCGAGTTGGTTTTGTGTTTTTCCTTTCTAACACTGTTTGGAACACATGATTAAACACAAAGTGACATAGAACACTCACACAAGTAGTGTGGCCCTCTCATGTCATAGGAGTGTAGCTCCATAGTTGTCGCACAACTGTTGCAAGTGTTTCGTGTTATTTTATGTAGCAGAGTTCTGCATCCATTGGTCATTCCCTTCCTCACACCAAAGATTATTCTCTCTTAAAACTCTTCTTTAATTTCTGTGGTCGAGTTCTGTGTTCCTCAAATACCCGAGGAGCCTTTATCTCTTCATGAAAAGAGTTGACTGCACTGAGACAGGAGGCTACGCAATCCTGATGTCTAAACCATCCAAAGATTAGTAATTTTTTTAAAAGCATACAGGAAAGACACGTACCCAGTTGGGAGTGATCCATCACATTATGGAGGGGAGGTGAGTTAGTAGGGTTGAAACTCATAAATTTTGATAATTTGTCACGTGGGTTTTGCGTCAAATCTCCCTTTCTTTGTATTAGTATCTGATTAAAAATATCACTTGTGATCTTACACGTATGTATATCAAAGCAGTGAAGTAGAAGCTTCGTTGTGTCTGCTGAGTGGTTGACTGTAAATAATTGCAAGTGGGGGTTTTGCTGAACAGCTTGTAATCTTGCAAGAATGAATTAAGCCCTCCTATTATTATAAAATAAAACGACATTATTTAAAGAGTTAGACATATAGACGACAAACTGACTGAAGTAATATTTATTATTATTCTTGAAATTTAATTTTTGAAAATCTTGAGTTTTAGAAGCTGCGTAGTAAGCTTCGCAAACAGCGAAGAACTCGTTTTGTAACCCAAAGAGTCAACAAAAGACAACTGGTACACCAGTCCGCATTCCCCACTACCAACCACACCCACTATCACCCCCACAAGTTTATACTTCAAAACAGTCTGTAATGAAGCTGTACGTGTATATATGTATATATTTTATTTATTTTTTCTTCTTCTATACAATAAATAATTCTATCATGGATTACTTCCTAGGTTCTCCTCTCCTCCTCCCCACCAAGACCCACCTCTCTCTCTCTCTCTCTCTCTCTCTCTCCCTCCCTCCCCATGTTAGATAATAAAATATGGGCAATGTTATATAAACCAAAAAAATTTATAAATTAATAGGATTAATGTCTAAAATTAGAAAAGTAAATGCTTAAGCTTGAGTGAGAATGCCTTGTCGCTTATTAACTCTTTTTTGTCGGCTTTTATTTTTTATAATAACTGTGTGTCCAAATCAATTTATGTATATCTTGACTAATCCTGAAATTCTGAAATTAATAATCGAGCAAACCTCTAGTGGCTCTAAAGTTTTGTTAGTCAAGGATCTAAATCCTCTCCAACTACAACTAACATAGAACACTTTTATCTATATCAAGTGTTGAATAATAACCGGAGCCGTTAGTTGAGTTGCTTTTGCTCTATAGGTTCCTTTTATTATTGCATATCATCTTAGTTTGTAATAAAATAGGTGTACTATTATTCACAAAATAGAATTTCGAGTCTTAAAATATGTATTTCGTTACATTTGACCCATAAAAGTTTTAATTTTCTTAATTTTATCTATAAAATTTTACATATGTATAAAATTTTAATTGAATGATCATTTGGTCCCTAAAATATGTATTTTGTGTAAGTTTGGTCTTCAGAATTTTTAATAATTTAAATTTCATCACTAAATAATAATAAAGAAAACGAAACGTAATTTTATAATGTCAAAATTGATAAAATTAAATTTAAAGAGACTTAAATGATAGTGAACCCATATTTTAGGGATTCTGGTCGAATTTTATTATTATTCAAATTAAGAGCAAATAATACTAATACCTCTTTAGATGTGGTCCAATTATATCCCACCCCCTAATATTCTAAAAATTACATTTTCACCTCTGTTGTTAATAGTTACATTTCACAAACCCCTGCTTATATAAAAGACAACAACTCCTAATAGAAAAATAGAGGAATTTACATTGGAAAAAAAAAAAAAGAAGTAAAGTAAAGGAAAGGAAAGGAAAAAAACAAAAGAAGTAAAATAAAGCAAGAAAAGAGAGAGTGCATGAGTTTAATATCTTCATTCTATCTAAATAATTACAATGACAGGGAGTTAGTATAATTTCTCAAACGTCAGGGTTAATAAATTGAAAAGTTCAGCCCACACTTCTCTTTAAAATCCTGCTATTAAAGAACGGGAAACTGAAACCTTATAACTAACACAGATAGGGCAACTTCAGACGATGTAGGGCACATTCGAACATGATATGTATTAAATCTAAATCACAAGAGGTGTAAGTGTAATTTACCCTTCAATTAATGATTCAAATGACAATCTAAAATCAGACTAATTTGACTAAAATTAAAAATCTTTAAAACGCAGAACATACTACAGATACGGAATAAGTGTATTTTATACAGATACTATTATGTTAATATATTTCATAGGTAAACCCGTACATGATCACTATAAATACCCCCACCTAAAGGCCCATAAGATCCATCACATCTACAACACACATCCCAGTGGTTTAGTTCACAGCCTATATTGCCATTCCAGTCTCTCAGTTTCTCCCATCTTAAAACTCTCTTTCATACAAGCAAAAATGAAGCTTGTTTTTGCAGCTTTGCTTATTGTTTCACTGGTTCTGAGCTCCTCCTTCTTCCAAGCCACCATGGCGCAGGCTACCCCCCCAAGTAATCTCTCTCTCTATATATATACGCACATACATACATAAATACATTGCATAATTATCTGACTGGTCTTGCTTTGTTGATTATTTTGAAGGTGGTTATCCCTGCGATTCCAAGTGCACAGACAGGTGCTCCACGGCAGGAGAAAAGAAACGTTGCCTGACAGACTGCGGGATCTGCTGCAACAAGTGCAAATGTGTTCCGTCAGGGACTTTCGGAAACAAGTCAGAGTGCCCTTGTTACAGAGACATGCTCAACTCCAAGGGCACATCCAAGTGCCCTTAGAGAGAGAGATACTTGTTCACTCCCCCCATTTCCCCACCTGTCTCTTACTTTCATCTTAGTTCTAGCTAGCTATTGATTGATTGTTTAATAAGTTTCGGTTAGTAATAAGGAAGTGCTTTTTCTCACATGGAACGACAGTAGTATCAGTAGTGAACACAAGCCTACGACAGTAAAACCAAAAGTAGAAAAAAAAATAAATAAATAAATAAAAACCAAAAAAAAAAAAAAAAAATTGAATATGAGAAATTTTACTGTCAAAATTGAGAAAAAAGTGTATCCTAAAAGCTAACCGAAAGAATGCCGGTGTAGGTATATGATTTATGTTCGTCTCAAGCTTATGTGGCTGGTAATTAAATTTGGGAGTCATTGCTGATTCTGTGTATTTTTTCTGTGGACGTAATAAAACTTTTTTGTATTATGGTGTTAATGAAGGGGTACATTGCATTGTGATTCTTTTTAGTCAAACTTGCCTAAAGGTTTGGGAGTCATTGCAATTTTCGGATGTTGTGTGGATAGTCTAAAATTGTTCTCATGTGTAGTCTTACATTGTAGGTAGTGTTTGGATTGCTGGAATAATTTTGAACATGAAGGGATGGCTATTCTTTGACCTTACAATGGACTAACCTTTCTTCTAAATTGGTGAATAATAATTCCATTTGAAATACGTTTCTCTTTATCAAATATTTCAATAAAATGACAATTCTATTCCAAACTTCATTCCAGTGAACTAAACACGCCTCCTACCCTATCAACTAATTCCATTCCTGATCAACAAATAAATTATGTTCCTATTGTGTTCCAAACTTTTGGACTTTGATCCTTTCCATCTCATATATCCTAAACTAAGGACAATTAACATGAATCAATTGGCAACATCAACAACATAATAGTCATGAAGAAAAATGAAGTGAGAGACATGGAATATAAAGACTTCTAAGTGACTCTTCAAAAAGGTTGTGATCCTTCAAAAGGACACACCCTTTCATTTCAAGAGACACAACCATTGAAGTAAATTAAATTCAAATTTTCCAACACAAACTAACTTAATTGTCCCCATGTCCTACTTCAAACAACCTCTCATGTGTAAATGACATCAAAAGAGAACAAGAAGATTCAAATGATGGCCTCTCCAATCAGAACAATGACGATGCCGAATTCTAAGTTTTTGGGTCAAGGGAATTAGCACAGCTGTATCAAATTCCTCGATGAATCCTGAAGGAATCATTACAGGTTTTGCAGGCAATGGTTCGCATTATGGCAAAAGATTCAAAGCGTTCAAAACTTAATGTTCTAATAGCTCCCACAAGAGATTCAACTTATACATATATATATGCACTATAAATCAAGCAACAAACCACTGTGTTCCGAGAATAAGGAGGGTATCCATGGCCACAAAGAAATCTACATATTGGATTTGGTTGGTAGGGCTATTGGGGTCTGACTCTAACAAGACAGCATCTGGTGTTTTTGAAAACTGAAAACAAGTAAAAGATATTTATTGAAACTCCCAAATCATTATAAAAATGATACATATCGACATGGAAATGGCCAAATCACCAGAACTTTTATATAGAATTTACTTTCAAAATGATATGATAGCTACATACTTTAATTTGTAAATTTTGTTCATAGTGATGCAGGTTATATTTTTAAATATAGAGGCGACAAGAAGCTACATCATTCTAAATAAGTGTATACGTTTTTATTTATTTATATGTCACTGCTCAATCGAAAATACATTCATTTGTAGAGGGCACATACCACAACGCACAACAACAATGGAACGAAATATGTAGAGCACAGGTTAAACCAAACACAATCAAACCAAGGACGTGTTTCCAATAAATTAAGTTTGGCTATACATCTTTCTTTCTTTCTTTTCTTTTCTTTTCTTTCCCATTTTTTTTTCATTTTTTGGGAGGGGGGCTCATTTTGAACTATCAAGAGTTATATGCTGAACTAAAATAAATTAATTCATATATTTTTTTTACTACAAAATCTCATGTCAATTGAAGTCTTCTCCTCTACCCTAGCAACTACGATTATATCATTAACAAATTGAAACGAAATACAATAAGCATAACAATAACAATCCCGATAAAGAAAAGGGAGGGGAAAAAAAAATGCATAACATCAATAAAATAAAATGAGATTCATATCAATTGTCTTGCCAAAATTCACATTACACGAGGTTTGAAAACTAAACTCAGTACTTATCAAAAAAAAAAAAAAAAAAACTAAATTTACACTTGTACACTTTTTTTCCCGCATTCACAATAAAGTCATTCATGAGAGGGCAATCAATCAACCCTCCACAAATCATTTTTCTGTTTTTTATTTTCATTTCTCTTCACAAATCAAGAAAAACATTCAAGAAATAGGACCTTCTTAAGCATTATTTGCAACATGATAGATTTACACACTATATATCTTACCACAAAGCACTGGATACATCCAAAGGTCCATGTGTTGGTCAGCCCCTCCTAGCACCGCCGTCGTTGGTTCCTAAAGTGGCTAAGAAGTGCCTAAGCCTGCAACCAATCAAAAACTCATTACAATCATTATTCTCAAATCGTAAATTGAATTGTGAATCATATCGAATCATAAATCGTAAAATTCATATTATTTAGCATAATATATAATTTTATATCAGCAGTGATTGGTAGCTCTAGTAGAGCTGCTGAGCTGGCAACCAATTAAAAAAAAAAAAAAACAGAAAAAGACATAACAGTGGCCAGAAGAAGACAATTTAATGCTAAGTTTAGAGGTGCTCTTTTAGAGCTCTAAAGCAATTTTCTTACACATAAATCACATATATCAATATAATTAGTTATATATATATATATATATATATTATTTTGTGAAAACAACATCGTTTCATAGACTACACAAACAATTGAATCGTTTGAATCATAATGAATTATGAATTAAAGTGAATCGCAAATAAATCGTAAGATTCACTCAATTTAAGATTCAACTGCACAAATCAAAATGTTTGGCTTAAGGTGTATCAAATCTTATAAAGCGAATAGTGCATCGTAAGATTTTAATAAACATGATTAAATAGTTTCCCAAAATAGATTTTTTTTTTTTTTTTAAAAAAAAAAAAACATTGAGCAGCAATGTATGAAGTTTACCTTTTTCTTTGGCTCGCGGAGTGCCGGATTGTGACAATGCCACTAATGGGGGAACGGCTTCATGAAGCACCATGCTACAAAATCGATTGGTGTGTGTGCAAATCTTTAGAAGAGCAGCAGCTGCATTCTCCTTCCCTCCTGCAGAACCCAACTCAACAACCTCAACCAGAACAGGGATCCAAGAAATGGAAAATTTGTATAACGCAAAAAAAAAGGAAAAATTTTGTACTAAATGAAGTGGTTTGGTGAGAAAGAAAGGAAATTGTGAGAATTGAAAACCCTTCCCTTGTTTGGATGGATGGTTAAGGCTTCGTTTGGGAAGCCTTGGTGGAGGCTTTTTTGGTTATTTTAACTACAAAAAAACAAAATAGGCTATTTTAGTCACAAAAAATAAAACATCACATTCAACCCATAATCATTACACTTTTCTCTCACAAAAAAAGTCAAAAAAATCAAAAAGCCAAAAAGTCCTTCCCAAACCAAACTTTTTAGCCCAGGCTAAAATAGTCAAAAAAACCAAAAAGTCAAAAAGCCAACTCACTTCCAAAACCAACCCTAAGTAAGGTGAGAAATGCTCTCTCACCCAACCCTGTTTTGTTTCTCACTAAAATGATGAGATTTGATGGGCTTTTCCCAAATCAAGTCAAATTAGTAACTTAATTCTCAAATTAGGTCTAGTTTGGATGAAATTTTTAAATTAGATTAAAGCGCTATTACAAATCATGCTTTTACCGTTCCTAGGATCCTCCCGTGGAAAATTTGTGAAATAGTAAAAGCGTGGTTACAAACTACGCTTTTAGAGATTTTTTTTTTTCTTCATAAAACGTGGTTCCAGGATTGAAACCTGGCTCTGATACCACTCTGTCACGACCCAAACCCGCCCCTATGGGTTTAGCACCGTAACCGGCCAGTAATCCGTGATTACCAAAGGCCTGCTTAACAGTAATAATAGTAATACAGCGTACAGGGGCTGGCGGAAGCCAAAACAGTAATAAAATATGTCCAATGAGCTGTGACAGTCTGTATGAAAAAAAGATTTTTCATACATATACACATTCAGAACCAAAACAGTATATACATACATATACAATCATCCAGGACATGGACCTAATCCCTATTAGAACAGTACAGTACAGGTACAGTCAGTCTATACAAAAACAGAAACAGAAACAGAAATGATGAATCTAAAATACTCCAAAAAGCCCTAGCTTGAAGGACTTGGAACCTTGCAGTGAGGTACAGTGGTTGGCTTGACAAAAAGGGAGTTAAACCCAACGTTCCTAGCTTTGATTCGGTGCCTGGACACCTACATATATATATATAAACAGTGAGCTAAAGCCCAGTGGATAACATATGCGTAAAGAGGTTAAGAATGAATGTCCTTTCAGTATTTAAAACAGTCAATTATAACAGTATACCAATCATTCAGTCATAGCAGTCGTATGTGGTACATCCCATAGCAAAACAGTACAGTAGGTCTTAACAGACCGAACAGTCAGTTGATGGCCATCATATCAATAAACAGTAGTGGTTCCAACATGGGAACCGACAGAGATCTCTGTAACAGTAGGAGTAACAGTAAATTGCTATGGATGCCACGAATACAGTTCGCAAATAGGACAAACATTCATTCAGTAAGAAATATCATTTCAGAAAGCAATACAGTTGGTCATTCAGAAAATATTCATGATTGAATATATCTTTACAACATTGTTACTCACAGAGTTCTGGGTTACAGATAGGCTAGTGAGCGTCCTCGGATGCCAACCCTACACAGCTACAGGATGAACACACACTAAGTTACACGTTTGGGAAATAATAACTTAGTCTCTATCTTGACTCGGTGTGGTTCTATAGCATTATCCTCATTAAGATGACTTAAACTAGGCCTAGGAATGCCTAGGATGGAATGAGGATGCAAAGATGCACTTTAAAACACTTTTCAAATTTTTGCTGAAATAGGGGTCCCGCTCGAGCGTGGCTTTCTCTGCTCGAGCGGATATGTAGACAAAAGAGCGTGGCTTTCTTCGCTCGAGCGGACATGCAGACAAAAGAGCTACGGTCGAGCGTGACTTTCCTCGCTCGAGCGGACTGTAAAAGTACTAGATGCATGAAATTCACGCTCGACGGGCGCTCGACCCCCGCTCGAACATGAGACACAAGTCCTCGCTCGAGCGTGCATTCCCTCGCTCGAGCGGACTGTAAACACATGCAAAGTACTGGATACACACATTTCACGCTCGAACATTACTTTCCCCGCTCGAGTGGACTGCATGAACTCAAAGTGTACGCTCGAGCGTGGATCTAAAATATGAAATTTCTAGATTTGTCTCCAAGCATGAAACTCAACATTTAAAGCATCAAATTCGATTATTTTGGGCTAATTTTCTGGAAAACACTCTAAAACTCATAATATGACATGTTTCAAAGATCAATTTGCAAAATCAAAGCCCAAAGGTAGTTCAATTGAACCCATTTCCAAACAAAACTTCAAGAACATGATGTACATGCAACATGCATGAATTTAATCAACTTCAAAGCTTCTAATACAAGAACAAATGAGTCAATCCTTCCAAAAACATGCTGAATTCATGGACCAAAACTAGAATATGGAAATGCATGTGAGGATTTCCATGAAATCAACCTCAAAACTCAACAATGTATACATGCATGCATGAATTCCTACTCAAATCAACATATTAAGCTAATCAACATATTAAGCGTGCATTCCCTCTGGATCCAGTGTTCTTCCAAAATGAAGGTAATTCGAGTTTGGAGGACCAAACTCTCTGTAAGGAGGGGAGACTGTGACAACCCTCACCACTAATTAGTGCTAATCTATGATTAAGCATGTTAAGTGATTGTTTGACTGAAATTCTGACTAATTGATTAAGTGTATTAGTTTGAATGCATGTCTATCTGTTTGACTACTAATGATCTGTTCATGTTTTATGTTTTAAACTACAAATTGAAGGCTTTATCGGCAGCCGAATCCGGAACTGATTAGTGTTTTGTGTTAATTAGACTTAATGTGATTTTATGGTAAATTTAGTTGAAATTTGATTTGGTATGATTAAATTGGATTAAATAAGCTAAATTACATTAGTTGGGCTTATCTACTATTTTGCCACTTAGTGGGCCACTACCTAAGACAATGTTGAAGCTTTATTACACTTGATCATACATCACTCTTCAGCCATATTGAGGCCTTTTCGAGAGAGAGAGTGAGAATAGGGAGAATTGGTTTCAACTAGGAGATTACTTGGAGAATTTGAAGATTTGAAGGAACTTGCAAAATTTGAGCTTCTATACCTTGAATTGGAGACTTGAGGTAGGAGACTCACCCTTTTAATTGTGAGTTTGAGTTGTTCTTGCATGATTCATGGTAAGGTTAGTGATTTAAGGCATGAATTAGCTAAATATGTTGATTTAAGTAGGAATTCATGCATGCATGTATACATTGTTGAGTTTTGAGGTTGATTTCATGGAAATCCTCACATGCATGTCCATATTCTAGCTTTGATCCATGAATTCAGCATGTTTTTGGAAGGATTGACTCATTTGTTCTTGTATTAGAAGCTTTGAAGTTGATTAAATTCATGTATGTTGTGTGTACATCATGTTCTTGAAGTTTTGTTTGGAAATGGGTTCAATTGAACTACCTTTGGGATTTGATTTTGCAAATTGATCTTTGAAACATGTCATATTATGAGTTTTAGAGTGTTTTCCAGGAAATTAGCCCAAAATGATCGAATTTGATGCTTTAAATGTTGAGTTTCATGCTTGGAGACAAATCTGAAAATTCCAGATTTTGGATCCACGGTCGAGCGGGGAACTCCACGCTCGAGCGGGAGTTAATGCAGTTCGCTCGAGCGGGGAAAGTAACGCTCGAGCGTGAAATGCATGTATCCAGTACTTTGCATGTGTTTACAGTCCGCTCGAGCAAGGGAATGCACGCTCGAGCGAGGACTTGTGTCTCACGCTCGAGCGGGGGTCGAGCGTCCGTCGAGCGTGAATTTCATGCATCCAGTACTTTTACAGTCTGCTCGAGCGAGGAAAGTCACGCTCGAGCGTAGCTCTTTTGTCTACATGTCCGCTCGAGCGGAGAAAGCCACACTCGAGTGGGACCCCTGTTTCAGCAAAAATTTGAAAAGTGTTTTAAAGTGCATCTTTGCATCCTCATTCCATCCTAGGCATTCCTAGGCCTAGTTTTAGGCATCTTAATGAGGATAATGCTATAGAACCACACCGAGTCAAGATAGGGACTAAGTTATTATTTCCCAAACGTGTAACTTAGTGTGTGTTCATCCTGTAACTGTGTAGGGTTGGCATCCGAGGACGCTCACTAGTCTATCTGTAGCCCAGAACTCAGTGAGTAACAATGTTGTAAAGATATATTCAATCATGAATATTTTCTGAATGACCAACTGTACTGCTTTCTGAAATGATATTTCTTACTAAATGAATGTTTGTCCTATTTGCGAACTGTATTCGTGGCATCCATAGCAATTTACTGTTACTACTACTGTTAAAGAGATCTTTGTCGGTTCCCATGTTGGAACCACTACTGTTTATTGATATGATGGCCATCAACTGACTGTTCGGTCTATTAAGACCTATTGTACTGTTTTGCTATGGGATGTACCACACACGACTGCTATGACTAAATGACTGATATACTGTTATAACTAACTGTTTTAAATACTGAAAGGACATTCTTTCTTAACCTCTTTACGCATATGTTATTCACTGGGTTTTAGCTCACTGTTTATATATATATATATGTGTAGGTGTCCAGGCACCGGATCAAAGCTAGGAGCGTTGGGTTTAACTCCGTTTTTGTCAAGTCAACCACTGTGCCTCACTGAGAGGTTCCAAGTCCTTCAAACTAGGGCTTTTTGGGGTGTTTTAAATTCATCATTTCTGTCTCTGTTTTTGTATAGACTGACTGTACCTGTACTGTACTGTTCTAATAGGGATTAGGTCCCTGTTCCTGATGATTGTATATGTATGTATATACTGTTTTGGTTCTGAATGTGTATATGTATGAAAAGTCTTTTTTGCATACAGACTGTCACAACTCATTGGACATCTTTTATTACTGTTTTGGCTTCCACCAGCCCATATACTCTGTATTACTGTTATTACTGTTAAGCAGGCCTTCGGTAATCACGGATTACTGACCGGTTACGGTGCTAAATCCATAGGGGCGGGTTTGGGTTGTGACAGTTATAATTTTTTTTGAGAAAACGTGATTTGGAATCACACTTTCAATATGCATTGTTTTTT